CTCCTCCTCCTCCTCCAGCATCTTTGACTTGGCAAACTCCTTCCCCCCTCTCGTTCCCCATCTGCCTGTCTGCCTTCTAGTTCATCTCACCTGTTCGACCAATCTGGATGAGACGAAGCAGCTCCGAAGGGCAAAACCAAGATTTCCAAACTCTTTGCTGAGGAATGACTGCAGAACAACATGGAATAAGATCGTCGTCGTCGTCGTCGTCATCATCATCAATATCGTCATATCTATCGTCGTTATCCTCCTCCTCCTCCTCCTCCTCCTCATCATCATCATCATCATCAGTTCGATGGATCACTTTTGGGTTGTTGATGAGCATTTTCTCTGCGGTGGAGTACTCGATGTATCCATTCTGATTGAAGAAATTCTTTGCCTGCACGTGGCGATATGAGACAGAGAACAGAAGAGAAAAGCAAAGATAATGCGGAAAGAGAAGAGACGGACAAAGTGAGGAGAGGAAGAAAGAGGAGGAAGAGGAGGGGAGGGAGAAAGAGGAGGAGGGAAAGGGAGGAAGAGGAGGAGAGAAGAGAAAGCGAAGAAGAGAGAAGAGGAAAGGAAGGAGGATGGTGGAAAGGGAGGAGGGAGGAAAGGGAGGAGGGAGGAAAGGGCGGAGGAGAGGAGAGGAAGGAAGAGGAGGAGAGAAGAGAGGGAGGTGGATGAGAGGAACAAAGACGAAGGAGGACGAGGAAGGAAAGTAGAGAGGAGGACGAGGAGATCCTTCGGACTAACCGCAGAGAGCTGAGATCGGATGAAGATTTCGGGGGTGTAAACTGCTCTCATGCCTTTACCGCTCAACGTGCCCTGAAAGATCATGAGGAGAAGAAGTCAAGAAGGCGGACAGGAGGGAGAGATGCAAGAGGAGGAAGAAGCTATGAGGGCAGAGTAGGAAGGAGAGGAAGCTGGAAGGAGAAGGAGGTTGCGAGAGAGGTTGGGAGGATGGGGATGGGAATGGGGAAGAGCAGGCAGATGGAGAGGAGGTGGGAGGAGGAAGCAGGGGGAGGAAGAGAAGGAGGAGAGGGAGCAAGGGAGGGTCTCTTTGAGTTACCTTGATTCTTCCTTCTTTGATGAGACTTTCAACCTTCTGATCGAAGAGCGACTCGTCGAAGTAGAAGATTGACTAAGCTATGCACTCCAGGACCCTCGACTCCCCCCCCCCCGGCCTCCTTGATCCTGCTCCTGCTCCTGCTCCTGCTGCTCGTCCTCCATCCCTGTCTCCTCCTTCCCGTAATCCCCCTCCCCCCTCCTTTCCCCTCCCTTTCCCCTCCCCCTCTTCTCTTCCTCGCACCTGCAAACTGGCGAGAGTTGTGGGGCGAGTGAGGGCGCTGAACGTTCCTCGGATACAAGCTTCCTGCAAGCGTGCAACATGAGAATCTCCCTTCCTTCCCTCCCCCCCTCATACGCCGCCTCTGCCACTATCAACACTCCTTCCCTGCCCTGCCCTCCCTTCCCTCCTCGGCCTCCCACTCTCTCCCTACTTTCCTCCGCCCCCATCCCTGTGTCCAGTTCATCGTTTTTCTTCATCTCATATCGTTTTCCATCCGCACCCTCCTGCTGACACCGGTGTTGTCTGGCCCCCCTCCCCCTCCCTCCTTGCTTCACCTGTCTCTCGATGTATGTGTCAGTATACAGCATCCCCCTTCCATCCTTCCTTGCACTATGGAGCCTGCGCCGAAATATCACTCCTCCTCCTCCTCCTCCTCCTCCTCCTCACCCATTCTTCGCGATAGAGTTTCGATCAGGAATTGAGTCGTGATGCCGAATCTCGATGCCACTTCCACCAACCTTGAGCAGAGAAAATCACATCACAGAGTTTGTCCACCTCCCTCCTCCCTCCTCCCTCCTCCCTATCTCCCTTCTCCCCTCCCACCTCCTCCTCTTCTCGTACCTCAAGCTTCCACTCTCTTGAAGGATCTGATTCGTTTCCTCCGCCAGTCCATCCAAATATTCGCTGGATGAGTTTCAATATGCGAGAGAGAGACTAAGAGCTGTAGAGCTGCCCTTTTCTCTCTCCATCTCCATCCTCCCTGCTCCCTTCCTTTCTCGCCCACTCCTCCCCTCCTTCCTCTCCCTTGCTTACCTGCATCTCTACCTCCCTCCCTCCCTCCCTCCCTCCCTCCTGCCTCTCTCTCTCCCCTCCTTCCCTCCTCTCTCCCTATCTCTCTCCCTTCCTTGCCCACTTCCCTGCATCGCTCCCTGCCTTGCTCCTGCTTCTCTCTCGGTCCCTTCCCTTCCTTGCTCACCTGGTCAACACTTCGCCATCGATCATGGAGATGCTCGAGTCCTCACTGCCAACACGTTCAAATCTCAATGTGTACATGAGCAGAGTGTGCTGAAGGAGAATGGAGGGAGGGAGGACGAGGCCAAAACGGGGAAAGGGGCAGGAGGGAGGCGGGAGGAGGAAGGGAGGAGGAGGGGAGGCGAGAGGAGAGGAGGGAGGGAGGAGCCCCACCTAAGGATTTTGTCCATCCGATCTTGAACATGTCGAAGATCGACGTTGACCGCAGTCTGAATATCTGTGATCTTCACTCTTCCTGCAAAGACAACAGTGATGAGTGCGCAAAGAAGCTGACAGAGCAAGGAGATGAAGATGAAGATGAAGATGAAGACGAAGACGAAGACGAAGACGAAGATCAAGATGAAGATGAAGACGGTGGAGGCGATGTGATGACACTTGAGAAGGTGGGTATTGTGGAGATCAAGATAAAATTGAGGTGGATGTGACGATGTCGTCGATGGCTATGGTTGTGGTTGTCGTGGTGGTGGTGATGATGATCATATCGAAAACAGATGAAGATATAGTATGTCAAACTACAACTGCTGGATGGCAGCGACGAGGATGCTGAAGGAACAGGTGCAAGGAAGCTGAGTCAAGGTTTGATGTGTTACCTCCATTCACAACGATCTCATCTCGAATCTCTTTCTCAAGATGCTCCGGGGTGACATATTCATTGCCATCCTGTCATATCATGTCGGCTTCTTTCCAACCCTAGCACCTTCCTCTCCCTGCCAGCTATCCTCTATCCCCTGCCCATCTCCCGGCTCCACAGATATCTCTCTCTGCCTCTGCCTCTACCTCTCTCTGTCCCCCACCAGTCCCTTCTCACCCCCTCCCTGTCTCTTGCCTCATTCTCTCACCAGGTTAACGATGAGGGTCACAAGACCGTTGGAGAGAAGCTTGATCAGCAGCTCGCGACAGTTCCGCTCGCTCAGCCTTGGGCGCGTCTCCTGCTTCTGCACAGCTCCCAGGAGCGCCTGCAGCGCCTCGATCTCGTCCATGGCGGCTCCTCCAACGATGTGATGCCAGCAGACCAGCAGGAACCTGTCGACCACGTCGCACGATCAGCTTGCTGATGACAAAAAGGTCGCATGCCTGGTATGTTATACAACTTGGTTTGCTTGCTCTCTTCCTTTGTGATATGTAGGACTCTCTCTACTGCCCTGCTCTTTCTGCTCAGCTCTGCAGTTCTCTGCTCTGCACCTCTCTGTCATGACCTGCTCGGCTACCTGCATACTCTGCCATGCTCTGTGATGACCTGCTCGGCTACCTGCATACTCTGCCATGACCTGTCATGACCTGACCTGCTCTCGGCTCTCCCCTTCACTCGTGAATTCCAGTCCACCTTCGCCACGATGATTTCGCAAGAGGTTGTGTAGGGGGGTACCCACTACACTTGTAGGGGTGGGGGTAAATAATTTTCAAATATATATGTTTTTATCTCTTTTTATTTGAAGTTTAGTTGATAATTAGTGGTAAATACTAAAACATTTTTCAAGTCGTCCTTTACATGGGGTAGGGGTGCTCCTAGGAGGGGATACCATGTCATTGAGGAAACTCGACACGGCCGCCTCTAGTCGGCTATTCATCACCCTCATATCCCTCGACTCTTGCAAGTCGCCGGGCGAGTGACCTTCTCTCAGTATTCTCGGAGTCGCAAATGGGCCCGGCAATGCATCGCACTCAGCAATGAGACCCGTCCTCGCAGCGCACCGCCATGCAGGAAAGGCGCGGCTGTAGTGATAGCTAGACGTCCTGCCCTCCTTGTTTGATCATCTTCTCCTTCTCCCCTTCTGTTTCACCACTCAACTCTCCTCTCTCCGCTCTCCTCTCCGCTCTCCCCCCCCCCCCCTTGTTTCTCCACTCTTCTGGCTGCTGTTGCCAGCATCGCAGTTCAAATCATTCAGAGCTCTGCTACACGGACCAACGCACCATGAAGATCCTTTGTTTACTCCTTGCCCTCTCTTCTTCTGTCGCCCAGGGAGCTATTGCGACTTACCAACATCAACACGTCAGAATTGCACTCCGGGCATGCACTCGCTTCTCCCCGTGTCAGCTCCGGTTGCGGACGCTGCGTCTCAATGGCGGAGCAGAAGTTAGTATCGACCAGCTGAAAGAGTTCCTTGCAGACAATCCTGTAGATCGTGAGGAGGAGGAGGCCAACCTGATGGCCTGGTTAGAGCAGGGAGACGAGAAGGGGGACTGCCCTCCTGTAGACGAGGATTTCAAGCAGGCCGTTGATAGAGCCTTGAAGATCTTCGAGCAGGAGATGATTGCACAAGGAAATCCAAACTGGAAAGCAGATTTGAGGAGAAGTCTGGGGAGCATCATTCCGGAGGCACTCAACACAACCATGAATCAAACAAGGCAGTCAATGAAGGAGGAGAAGCCCTCCAGCTCATTGAACCTTGGTTCTGTCTTTGTCAATGCGGCAAAACATGGAAATGTGACACAGATATACGACTGCCTGAAGCTTGGCCTAAAAGTCAACGTCAGGGCGTGCGAGGTATGGCGGCCTCTCTGTTGTCTAGCCAGGAATCTGATTCTGAATCTTCAGTACACCGGTTGGAGCCTCCTGCACTGGACCATCATGAGTGGCAAGGTTTGAGAAAGGAAATCGACTGAATCCTTGTGATGATTGCTGTCACGAAGGTGGATGCTGTCAAGCTCTTGATAAGTGCAGGTGAAGCATTGGTCAACCCATCGTCCTTTTTTCCCTGTGGCCCCTGCAATTTAGTGACGAACTCGTCCAGGGGCCAAGGTTGACGCAAAGAGCTTCAGTGGGCAGACGCCGTAAGAGCAACTTGGTTCGCGGTTGTCTTCCTGACGCTTCTTTTGTTCTCCTGACGCTAGTCTGCACATGGCCGTGCTCGAAAATCATCTGGAGATAGTCAGGGCTCTGATCTTGAACGAGGAAAGAGCATGTCGAGATGGAATCGGACTTTGACTCGTCCTTTGTCGCAGGCTGATGTCAATTGTCAAGACGACCAACGATGTACCCCCTTGCACCTCGCCGCTATGATGGGCCATGAAAAGATATGCACCTTACTGCTCAGGTCTGGGTTCTCTAGCTGAATGACTGCTTTCGTGTTCCCAGTTGTTTGCCCTTTGCCAATGTGATTGAACTTGCAGCTGTGGCGCCGACATTACGCTAAAGAATCAAGAAAAGGACACAGCTCGTGACGTGGCTAAGAAGAACACAATGAAGGAGATCGTTGGGTTAGGGGCAGATGCATGATCTAGATCCTTCCTCTGACATAGTTTCAGATTGCTGGAAGAGTGGAGTGGCCGCGATAAAAGCATGTCAAAGTTGAGAGATGTGGAGATTATTTCAAACCCCGAGCACTAGCATTACGAGGAAAAGTCTTGAAATCATTTCAGAGACATTCATCAATATATGTCCAGAAGAGAAAGGATGAGAGATGATAGATAAATGTTTTATTGTTAATAGTACAACGATCGTGGCATAAAGCCTCGATCATGATTGGAATTCAGATACCCAATCACCTTGACAACTTTCGTGAATGAACTAAACATGGAAAATGAGGAATTGCCAGTGAGCACGTTGCCGTTCTTCTTCACCTTTCTAAATAATCGACCTTGCTTTAGCCAAGGCTAACTCAATATTCGTCATGCATTCTCGTCCGTCGCTATGTACGATGATCTTCTTCGAGCAGCGATCGGAGGAGCGATCGCCGGCTTGCACGACTTGGTTTCGTTGAGCAGAGAGTCTTCGTAGCTCAAAATCTTCCAGGTAGCGCTTCTGCTCGTGATTGAGCTTGAACATCTTCTTCTTTGTCCGCACATTCACGTTCTCCGAATACGAGAAAGTCACATTCGATTTCGCCGAGGGTGCACATGGGATCGATACCATGGTAATGGCGGAATGGAAAAACTCCTTCAAGGATCGTTTTTGTCGTGTGAACGACTCAGTTTGCAACGAAAAATGTTTGCAGTGGAGAGTGAGGGGCACAGCAGTGACAAGAGAGTGAGAAGAGGAGATGGAGGATGGACACAAGATGGCTGAGCAAGAGCGTGGGAAGGAGTGGCGGGAGCAGTCAGGACGGGGAGGATTTTAAGGACTGGTGTTTATGGGGCGGTGCTGAAAAATACGAATGGGGTTCGGTCGAAACAGGCAGGGGTGGGTGGAGCAGTGATTCAAGGTGGGGTGGTAGAGATTTCATTTCTCAATCTTTGATAGTACCCACCCCTATTTTCCATACAATTACATATGGATCAAGAGGGGTACATCACCTGGATTCGAAGTGATGGGTTTTAGTTTGCGCACAACGGTAGAAGTCGGGGTGGGGTGGGGGTGAGAAAGGGGTGGGGTAGAGGTGATTTCTGAAGAAGGTTCACTGTGTCTAGTTTGAAAAAGAGACTTTTCAGCAAAACCCTCATGGAGCTGACAGTGAAACTGTGTCTATTTTTAGGGGTGCTTCCCTTACAGGTCAAGATGACTGGTTATGTCGCTGACACAAAGTTATCCCACACCCTACCCCCACCTCCACTTTTCTCTTCAGACTACCCCGTGTGCCCTGTAAGTGACAACACAAGGTCCTTAAGGCTGCTTCCACGTTGTGACTCTAATTTTAGGTCATGATCAGCACGGAGTGGTGGGAGATTCGAAACAGAGTATTTTCGAATTATCCTTTGCGTTGCAATGGCCCCCCTCTGAGATCACTTGAAGAAAAAAACACCCTACTTCAATGACCCTCACAAGGCCAGGTCACGGCCTGGAATATTACCCTCTAAATTTCAAATTGTCGACTACCCTCAGGCAAATCTCCCATCACGTTTGAAAGCATTTCAGCATCTTCTCCTGAAAACAGCTGCACGCCCGCCTCCCCTCCCTTGCCTTTCCACAGGTCAATTCGCCTCTCCTGTAAGCCTCTCAGTGACCTCTACGTTTCCGTTTAGATGTGCCCCATTCCCGGTCAAGCTGACCTTGTTCCCGGTCACGTTACCGGGCCCACATTCGAGCAGTGGAGGAGCGAAGGGACTCAAGGAGACGACGATGACGATGACGGCGACGATGACGGTCACGATCACAATGCAGCAGTCATGTCTCAGTGTCACTAGGTGTCGCCACATCACACGTGTTTGAGAGGCGGAAGGCATGTCAGGAAGGAGCTGGCCTCTTGTCGAGTAAGCAGGTGATGGGAAGATGGCTGTTAGATCTGGTTTAGGCGTTCTCTTGCACACAATCAAACGTCACAGGTGTAATCGGTCAGGTAGTGAGCAGCAAAGAAGAAATGTAGAGCACCGAGATGGATGGCTAGACTAACACATTGACACACATCTCGCGCCTTCGAGCGGAGACAACCTCAGCATCTTTTGTTCATCAGGGACGCACCAGACAAGCTTTCCATGCTTGTGCTTCGCCCGCTTCCCTTCACCACTGCACGCATGCGTCCAGCTCGAGCACAAGGACATGGCAAACTTCAAGGAGAAAGCAGGTAACCAACATAGCGCAACAGCTTATCGCCCTTTCGTTGATCGGAGTAGATGATAGCTACTCGGTTTTACTAGACGGAGATAGAAGAAGGAAAAAGTATGTCTCCGATGTAGAGGGGAGGAGAGCTGGAAGGGGGAGAGCATGTGAGATCTAGCGTAGACAATTTTGTTGCAACATGCTTTTTGCGCACTTGGTAATTGACGCATTGGGATGTCAACATGTAGCAGAGAGAAAGCATTCTTTACAACATTACCCGAAACACTTTTATGGTTGACCTGCTCGGCTTGTTTGAGCAACCAAGTGATCCCGCACTCGCTACAGGTGGATCCCCAAGAGAGAAAGAGGAAAGTTGGTGTTGCTAGTTTGTTTCCAGAAGTCAAATGAAGGACGACTGTTGCTTGTCTGATTGCTCGGAGCCTCCTTGATCCACTCTACATGATCTGCCCCTTCTCATCTCACCTCCTGCTCCTGCTCCTGCTCCTGCTCCTGCTCCTGCTCCTGCTCCTGCTCCTGCTCCTGCTCCTGCTCCTGCTCCTGCTCCTGCTCCTGCTCCTCCCATTCTTTCCCTTCATGTCTAGCCTTCAACTTTGCCATTTCCTCTTCATCATTCCCGTTGACCCTCCTGGTCCTGATATGCTCCCAGCTTGGTTGTGTACATGGTTCAACCCTCCCACGCCTCCTCCCTCCTTCCACGACAGGGTGAGGAGGCGAGCAGAGGACGGCAGGGGCAGCATGGCGGTGGGACCAGCGAGCCAGGGACTGGCAGGAAGGAGGGGCAGCTAAATAAATTTAAAAAAACTGAATCGGAGAACTTGCGAGGTCTAGGCGAGTGGGGAGGGGAGCATCGGCGGGGAGGGGAGGGAGGGGAGAAGAGGAGATAGGAGGGAGGGGAGGGGAGAGGGAAAGGAAGAAGAGGGGAGGGGAAGAGAGAGGAGAGGGGAGAGGGAGGGGGGAGACAGACTGCCATGGCAACCCTATGCTCGTTCCTCCCTCCTCTGCAAAATGAGAGGAACATGGGAGGATAGAGGAGGGAAATCGCGAGAGGATCGCAGGGTGGAGGTAGAGGACTCGGAGTATGCAGAGGACAAGAGGAAGCATGCTGAGCATGAGGATGCTTTTGCTGGTGCTGCTGGCTGCAGCCTTCCAGGAGGGCCGAGGAAGGTGAGAGGAGGGCGGCAAGGAGCGCTTTGGCGGGGGTGACCTGCGGAGCTCAGGGAGTATGGCCTACTGGCAGAGGAAGGGCCAGACATTGTCATCCTCCATCCTGCCAACGACTCTCTTGTCGAATGTCCGATGATGGTGAAGGATAGGAGAGGAGGAGGAGAGGGACTGGTGAACTGAGATGGCTCCAGATCGCGTTTTACGTCTCCTCTTTCTGTGTACAGCGGCTGGGATCGAGGCTGACGGTAAGGAGGGAGGGAGAGTGGAAGCGAAGAGGGAGGGAGGGAGGGAGGGAGGAGGGAGGAGGAAGGAGAGAGGAGGAGGGAGGGAGGGAGGAGGAACAAGGGAGGGAGAGAGGGAGAGGGAGAATCAGGGAGGAGGGAGAAGAGGAGGGGATGAGCAGGGTCGCAGGGAGTCTACCTCTACCTCAACCAGGAGAAGATCCTCGAGTCGGACCTCCTGGTCCATGGCAACGACGGCAGCGCGCAGTATCATGCGGTGAAGCATGCTTGCTGCGGGGGATGGCGAGGAAGGTTGACGGGCGAGCTGCAGGAGGTTCCACAACTACGCGCTGGGGTGTATGAGGTGCATGCGAGCTTGCGCATGAGGCAAGGGTCTGAGCACCTGTCCGCTCGAAGTGCTGTGACAACCTTCGAGGTCCATGCTGCTGCTACTTGATGATGCTCACGTTGCTCAGGTGCTTGCTCCTCTTCAGGAAGAGGAGGCAGGAGGGAGGGAGGGTGGAGAGGAGGAGGGAGAGCAGGAGGAGGCGGAGGAAGAGCTTGAGGGTAGGATGTTCCGGCGTTGTGCGGCGAGAGAGGACGTCTGCAGGGAGGAGAAGATCAAGGTGAGATGTGATGAAGAGAAGATGATCCGATGATGGATGCCAGAGATGGATGTCGTATGTGCTCGATCACTTTGAATGATGATGGTGATGTGTATGATGGGAGCAGTTCGTGCTGCAAGTAATGTTGATCTTGTTGATGATTATGTTGATGACGATGACGATCACGACGACGACGAAGACAATAGCACGTGTTGCCTAGAATGATTTTCCTTTACTCTCTTTCAAGGCGAGTTGCAACTGCACTGGAGACTGGTTCGGGGACGATTGTAACTACAACTTCATGGTCAACTCTTCGTATTTTCCAGGCATGACTGCGCATGCTCTTGAGACGTTAGTGATGTCGGTCGCAGTGCATCTCAAGAACACCCCATGTAGTTGCAGAAGAGTGTCAGAGTGGTACCAGGCAAGGAGGGTGTTGGAGGTAGGCTGTCAGGTAGATCTCCGTGAGATGTCTCAAACTTCTCGTTTGTTTGCTCTCCTCAGGCTCAGATCTTCAGCTTGCATCGAACTGATGGCTGCAACGCCCGCGATACTGTCGAGATATCCCTCGATGGAAAGGCAAAAGATTCCCATCCTACTGTTCTCCCCTGCTCCTCCCCTTGCTCCCTGCTCCCTGCTCCCTGCTCCCTGCTCCCTGCTCCCTGCTCCCTGCTCCCTGCTCCCTGCTCCCTGCTCCCTGCTCCCTGCTCCCTATCTCTGTTCCTCCTCTTCTTTCTTTCTTCCCCCCCCCCTCCCCGCGCTCCCTTCCTAACTTCTCCTCTCCCTCACTTTCGTCCTTCGACGCTTCTCCTTGCATTTCAGGCGTTGGGAGCTCAGATGCACTTCCTTGCTCTTGGATTGTCGGCAGCTCTCAGGAAGCAGAGAGCGCTTGTGTAAGTTCAACATGTCAACACATAATGAGCAGATGGAACCTTTGTTTTCATTCGCTCTTCACCTATCCGCCTTACCTTTCCCCCCCCCCTCCCCCTCCCTCCCTCTCTCTCCCTCTCCCTCCCTCTCTCTCCCTCTCCCTCCCTCTCCCTCCCTCTCCCTCCCTCTCCCTCCCTCTCTCTCCCTCTCCCTCTCTCCCCCTCTCTCTCCGGTTA